GTGCAGGCTGTGAAGCTCCAAGATAGTTTCGTCCCGCGCTCGGCCTGGAGACTCCTTCAACAGCTCATGCTCGCGCATGGTCCAAGGTGTGCTGTGTGGCCTCGAAGACTTTCCTGAACTTCTACGAATGCACCGACGTGGCAACTCGCCGGCATTGAGAACTTGGGGAAACTTGCCTGGCGCGGCCTTCCGCACGCAGGTCTTGGAGGCTCCCCGCAGGAGCAAGTCTTGGACAAGCCTGCCGCGGGTGGAGATGCAACACGTCGGGGTGCCTTGGCTTTGGAACAACCAGTCTAAAGGGCCCCGAGGCCACCGGCAGTCCTTGATGAGCATCTGAGTATGTGACGGGCTTGCCGAGTTGGCCACGGCTTCTGCAGGATACCCAGCACACGGATGTCACCGGATCGGCCGTCTCTCTGGTGAGCGTGGCCTTTATCCCCGGCTACGGCTTGCCGCCGGCCAACCCTCTCTGGGGCGGAGCCACGGGCATCTGGGTGGGCAACCTGCCCGGCCTTTGCCGCGAAGCCGAATTCGACCTTTTCCTTCGCCGCCTGGGCTTCCCGAACGTGCGGATGTCCATGCCTCGCAAGGCCAAGACACCCAAGCGAAACAAGGGTTTTGTGTTTCTGCATCCCGGAAAGACCAGGCTGTTGATGTTGGTGAACGCCCTCTGGGGCCGCCGGCTCCTCCACCGCGCGCGCGAGCACCCGCTGGTGTTGCGGCCGCAGAACTTGCATAGTCTGCAGGAGCGCTTCGGCCAGATCTTGAAGCCAAGCATGTAGCTCCACCCTCCTCCTGGCGACAGCCTGTCAGCGAGCATCGCCACAGCTGCCACCCGTGTCAAGCACATTTGGACGGCTGCGTTCAGCTCGGACGCTGCCGAGCCTTGGGGCGACTTCGCTCTGTCAGCGAGCATCGCCACAGCTGCCACCAGTGTCAAGCACATTCGGCAGAGCCACTGTCGCATGGGGAACACCCTGCGAGTCTTGTTAACTTCGTTCCAACATGTTCCTATGTCGCCCGGCATCCACACTTTCTATGCGGCCCGAGGGAAAAGATAGTCAGCAGAGGCAAGCCAGTGCATGTCCATTTGGCATCATATCCCTCATGCCGCAGTGCACCATGGTGCACCATTTCAATTTTGGGTCTCTGTCTCGAGACGATTTGTTTATGTGATGGTCTTTGCGGAGGAGTATCGTTCTCGAAAACCTTCCTCTGCAGTGCGATGCGAGTTAAAAAGGCTCCTGCCCGGCGAACCCTTGCGAAGCCAAGAAGGACTGCGGAGAACGGCTCGTGGGTTGAACTCGCAACCCACACAGCAAGCCCATACTGAGGTGTTCGCGGCGATCACGGCTGACAGTGCCGGGCCCCAGTCTCCCATTTCTTCGGAGAGTGTCTCCTCCCGCAATTTGCCCTTGCCTGCGGAGAGTCCGCAGGATCGAATGAAGTTGCAGAGTTCTGATTTGCATCCCTGATCCTCGACAGTCTTCGGCAAGTCATCACAAGTCATGTCCTGGGCGGCACGCATCTCCATCTACAGCTTTCATGCTGCTCAGCCTATGCTCAGTGCGCTGGAGTTGTGTGCTCACAAGGGGCTTCCCTCCTGAGTGAAGCTTCACTGCTCAGGAGAACTGTCTCGTCGGTGCGATTCTACGACGGCCGCGAGGCTCGTCAGTCTTGGGTAGGTCTGTCAGGCGTCGCGGGCTTCACCTGGGAGAATTTCGGCTGGCACGGCCGCGTAAAGTTGCGAGATCTGCCTGATGTACCTTTTTTGTGTGTTTGGCGTGTGGAAGTCACGCAGTCTGGCCTGGGTGGGCGGATGGGTGGTGGGTTGTTAAGTTACGTCGGCGATGTATTGCAGTCCCAAGGATGCAGCGAGTGAGGCACACGACAGACCCTGAGAACCCAATACCCCTTAATTAAGGAATATACCTTAAATTATAGGGGCCCTAATTTTGTGATTTAAGGTATATTCCTTAATTAAGGGGTATTGGGTTCTCTGGGGAGTAACATTCTGCGCATGTGGTGTGAGCAGGCTGGACATTGCTTGAGCATGCTTGAGCCAGACTCCTCACAGGCACTTGAACATACTTGAACCTACCTCCGTGGAGGAGTGCTTGAAACACTGCCCTGGCTGCATGCAAGCGAAGCAGCGAAGGGTATCGAAGGTCACAAACTCCTGAACAAGCTTCGCAAAGTTCATGTCGGGGGGAAAGCAGTCTGGCATCAAGCACTCAAGAGCCCGCTCTTTCCATCTCACGCCGTTCCGATGACCATG